CTCTGGTCCCGGCTCAAGTGCCGTGGCTGAGAAAGCCTGGGTGGGTCGTGGGTATGGCCAAGGCCGGGGACAAGCTAGCCACATGGATGGACAGTGAGCACACACTCAGCACGGAGCAGCACAGCAGCCACTCACCTCGGCAGAGCCAGACTCAGTGCTGTTGAAGGCAGTGGCGGCCTTAGTCCAGGAGTCGCTGGTGGAGGCCTGGACGGGGAGCGCTGCCGGAGGAAGGGAGACGCGTCAGGACGTCGAAGAGGAGAGACAAGCACGGGCGCGACTGACGCAAACCCAAGTCCCCTGACCGCCTCCCTGCCTCCGCCAGTGACACGCCAGTGAACAGACGACACACAGGAGCTGCCTGACAGCTTCCCCCACCCCCAAACATCCTCAGACAGACTTCGATAAATGCGTTTCTCCTCACTTCACTGATCGGATGCTCTGGCAAACACACCAGCAACTTTGATCCACTCACGCGAGAATTCCACGTCACCGTCTCGGCATGCTACGATGACGCTGTCCATCACTTCAGCCAACTATTTATTTCAACAAGCTAGCAGCTGCTACAAAGTCTCACAGATCCAAGCCCCCCTTACTCAGATGCTTTTATCTCACAGACCACTGAGAGTCTGACAGGAGACACGGACCCTGTGTCGTGTGCACAAAACTTCCCGTGTGACTTGAAGATCCCAGGGCCCTCTGAAGCCATCCCTGGGCCTCTGGTCTGAGCGACCAGTGAGGCACAACAGAACCTGGGGTAGGCCCGACCTCAGAAGACAATGCTCTGCTTAACCAGGCCAGCGGGGGTTGGGGGGGTGAGTGCTGGGGCAGGGATGGTTCTGGGCACCTGTGCCATGATGGCCGGGGCCCGCGCACGCACGCACCGATTTGACTGGTAACATTTTGCTAACAGAGCATTTTACCTTCAGAGTTAAATATTTTCCAATGTTATTTAGCAACGTGTTAGAACCAAAGTTTTCACCAAGAATGTAAGGACAGCCCATGTGATAAAACTAAATAAAAAATCAAGGCCCAGAACCCGAATCGTGGGTGTTTGTCATGTGGCTCTGGGGTCAAGTCACTTTACTTTGAAAGCCTCGGCTTCTTTGTATAAAGATTTCTCCATGCTCCCCCTAGAGCTGTCACATGCTCTTTCTGTTTTATTCATCAGTGTACCCCACAGCGCCCTGCCAAAGTGGGCATTCGAAAAGAAATCTGCTCAATTAAAATTTGTATTTTAAAATGAAGTTACCAGAAAACTAGCACTGGATATGAATTTTTTCACACATTTTCCAAAAAACAAACAAAAAGAAAAAAGAAAAAAAAAACAACAAGGTCCCCTTACTCTGGTCTCAAGTCTGCCTGCCTAAGAGAGCACGTAGGGAGGCGCTGACAGACCTGCCTTCTGGGCTGGCCCAGGGCCCAGGGCCCAGGGCACAGATGGGAAAGCTCCTGGACGCCTGCTCTCCTCCCCAGCAGGCATCTGCAGCTTGTCTACAAAGCAGTAAGAAAGGATGAGCCAGGAGCCCTTAGCTGGTGGGGGTGGGGCGGTCCTCTTCCAGGGTGCTGGACACATGGACTGCTCTGTTCTTCCACCAGATTCTACGCAGGGAAAAACTGACATCTGCTCAGGGGTCCCAGCGGGGAATGGCGCTACGGTGGCGTCTGACACTGGCTCAGCAAAGGACGCCAGGAAACAGGTTACGCTCCACTCACACGCATGACCCCAAAAGCAGGATGTTCCCAAAAAATGAGACCCTGAGACTGTGACCACACCCCGCCCCCTCACCTTGGCTGCTGCTCTCCCAGATCTCGGTGCCCAGGCTGCTGCCAGGAACGGTCACATCGCCCTGCTCCAGGCACAAGCTGTTCTGCTTTTTTGCAAACCGAGGGGGGACGCGGGAGGAAAGACCTCGACCTTTCACAGGCACCTAAGGAAAAAATAGTAAGGTGATAAAGACCAACGTAAAAGAACAAATTCCCCCCAGAAAAAGCATCAGGGCCCCGAACCACCAGAACTTGCTCCAGAGGTGCCTAACGCTCATCCTCGACCACACGTGAACTGCAGTGCCACCGAACCACCCAGGGAGGCCGACAGGCAATGGACTGTGATCCGAACTCCGACAACGGGGCAATGCCTGACGCCGTTTCAGTCCAGCGTCCCCGCCCCTCGTTACTCCCAGGGTGACAAATCTCAGCCCACTCAGGCCAGGGCACAGTGGAAGGAGAGTGGACTTGAGGGCTAACAAAGGCTTGTGCCCTGCCCAACCAGATGTCAGCGGTGACCGCCTGAGAACAAGGATGATGCATCTACACCCACAGGGCAGCAGGTGGGCGCTGGGGACAACGTGCTTAATAAACGGTCCATTCTCTCTCGGGCTTAATACAGAACTGAGTCAGCCCCTGGCTCTGGTCCCTCACCCACATGCCTTCGCCCCAACCTCCCAACCCTCACCTGCACAGCGTGTTCCTTCCTCCTCTTCTCCTCTACTCCCCCAGGCTCTGGTTCCCCGCCCTCCCCCCCCAAATGCACCACCTGATCCTTCCTCA